GGGGTTGAAACTGTCCGCTGAGATGCACTGACTGAAATATGCCACCAGGGGGCGCCAGTGCCATGAGGAAGTCAAAACTGGCTAGGACATGGAGGCCTCTAGGAAAGGGTGGAGGCCAGCATTTAAGGGGGTTACAAGTTGGCAGTGGGGCTTAGAGTCAAGAGATCAGCGCGTTAGATTCAGGGCTTGAAGTAGAGGGTAAGAAGTCAATGTTAGCGGCTGGGTATTAGAAATCAAAAATTTGACCAGAATCCGAGGTCAGTGTTGGAGCCTCGGGTCAGTATTAGGTGTAAAAAATTGGGATAAGGTTAGCACTGAGAATTGGAATCAGACGGATGAAGGTCCAAAAGGGCTGGCCCATCTCTCCCCACAGGTGGGACACAAGTCACTTTAAGAAGACCGGTGGCCCCCAGAGAAACAACTATGTTGTCCACCCTGAGTTTGTGTCCGAGTCTTACCCTGTCTACCCCTGCTGGTAGAGCGGGGGGCCAGGCCAAGGGGGCTGAGCAATAAAAAACTTTTCACCCCATAGGCTGCCTCCTGTGTCCTCACCCAGCAAGATCTGGCAATGGGGAACCAGTCACTCAGGCCTCTGCCACGCCCCCTAAACTGAGATGCAGTTTCTCAAAGTCAACCTGCCCTGAGCCCTCCCCACTCCCATCATCTCAGTACTTTGCCTTAGTTGGCCCTGAGTGCCCTCCTGACACAGAAAAATAGCCCTGTATCCACCCGGTGTCGTCCTCCCCTCCACCCTAGAGCCCAAACTAATGGGTTCACTTAGCCATGCAGGAAGGGCCCTCCAGCGAATATTCTGCCAATAACACCCGAACTTAGATGCTCCTCGCCCCAGCATCTCAGTAGATTCAGATTCCTCCATTCTGCAATCAGAGCCCTGTCCCTATATCCAAAGCTCTTTATCTCTACTCCGGGAGTCTTCTTTACAGCCCCCCAAAAGCCTATGTTCATATACCTTGCTGTCCTCCTCAACCCAAGTCAAGGGGTCCAAAACAATTTTCGGAGGGTTTCGTGACCAAGAAATTTCAAATTACAAAACAGAGCCCTGTTTCTATGTCCCTCTGGGAGCAAAGGGTGCTCTGGGATCTCTGGGATCTTCAGTCTTTTTGCACCCCACTCCTCTTCGGGGCAGGGGTATGGCGGGTCACGCCCACTTCCTCGCAGCACAGGAATGCCTGTCACTAGGGAATGGGAGGACGCTGCAAAATACCCAGGGGAAGGCAGTCTTCTAGGTTCCTGATCTTGGATGCTGCTGGTCTCCGAAAGTTTGGGCCTCCCTGCTGGTGAAACCAAGATCCCTCCATGGGGTCCTTGATTGGATTCGCCTTATACTGAGCCGCTGAGATTTTCCCGTAATTCCACTACTCTTTTTCCATGTGGGAGAGCTAGCAACAGCGTTATACCGAAATGGCCCCCACCTGCCCAAATCTGGAGGGGAAGGGATCCCAAGAGTCAGCCCTGCCCCTTTACCCTGCGGCTCGCTCCTTCTCATATATATCCTAAATTTAGCCTGGGGGTACGAGAACCCTAACATTCTACAGCGGTTCCTTCCTCCAAAACTACATTTCCCAGCAGATCTGGAGCAGAGCCCCGCCCGCAAGCGGGTGAGCAACGCCCTGGCAGGGGCGGGCCTGCAGGCGGGGGCGGGGCCGGGAGACACCGGGCTTGCAGCTCGCCTGAGATGCCTGGAGCTAAGCACAGAGCCATAGGTGGAAAGTGGGGGTCAAAGAGCTGGGCCTCAGGTCCGCGTGACAATGTGGGAGGAGGGGTGGGACGCCAGGGGCGGGGCTGAACTCCAGGCTCCGGGCAAGACCAAAAGATCTGGGCGTGGCCAAGCAGCCAGAGGGCGGGGCCTTAGCTGTCCCCAACAAGGCAGCGCTCCGCGCTGCGTGGTGGCAGCTGAACTCTGGCTAGCGTGGAGATCTGCAGGAGCCAACCTTCACCCCCACTTTTGGGGTCACTGCCGTGAGTAAGTCCAGGGGGAGGGGCTTGGGGGGCTCTGAGGGAGCACACTTCCTTAACTTTCACTCCTACTGCTGAGTTGGTGGGGAGAGCCTGAACACCTGAGTCGCCGTGGGAGGACAGGCCCCTTGACCTCAGTCTGTCCCTTTGGACTTTGCAACTGTTAGGCGGGTCACTGGGGGTGGGGGTGGGGTATTCTAGAATGTAGGCGCAGTCACTCGATCCCCCTGGATCCCGCCGCTGAGCCGGGAATTGGGCCGGATCGAGTTGCCTTTGACATTTCCACACATTCCCCTGGGAATTGTGATCGGCAAACGACTCAGCTTGGGATGGCCTCCCCTCAATTTGGCCAGTCAGGGCCCTGCTCTTCATATCCGACGAGGGGCTGGCAACCAAGATTGAGGTTGACCCAGCTAAGTGGGGAGAAGTCTTGGCTAGGGCTGACCCCACCTGTCAGCATTAGCCTGTGGTTGGTCTGATGGTGGAGGCGGCAGGTTACAGGAGTTTGTAGAGACGCCTTTAACACCAGAACCACTGTTCTTCCCCACAGCCCCGGTACCAGATGCTATTAAAATTCCCCATTTCCCACCCCCAAGAGTCCTTCCTGTAGCAAGCAGCAGCGCCAGCCCTTGGAAAAACAGGCCTCCCCATGCCCACACCCACTTGATGGAAGCCTGTCCCAGCCTCTTGACCACAAAGCTCCTTTCCTCTGCTGTATTCAGACAGCCGGTCAGACCATTATCTCCCATCTCCTAAAACTTAGGCTGTGGAGGATTACTTTGGCTTTTTGGATTCAGTCAACCTTGCTACTTGGGTGACTTCAAACAAGTTCCTTTTTCTGATTGGGCCACTGTTTCCTCATCTGTACAATAGGCACTGTAGCTATGCCTCTTTTCAGCATTATTGTTGGGATGGACGCTGTCATGGCATTTGGGAGACCAGCACTGGGCCTGCATGGAGTGGGTGCTCAGGCCTGTGGGCTCCTGTTCTTCATTAAAGAACCTCCAAATCCTAGAAAGTTAAGACTCTCAGAAATTAAGTGTTGGAAAAGGCTTCTGAGGTCACCTCGGTGGCCTCTCTATGCCTCCAGGGGTCAGGAGATGGTCTCATTTAATATGAAAGTTTGAGAATGAGGGGTCCTATTCAGCTATGGGCCTTTCCATCTTATTACCTTAGTGCCCAAAATGGGGTCTTGGTTGTCTTGAATGAATAAAAATGCATAGCAGCTCTGGCCTGGGCCATCTAAGCCTTCTTTGGGTTCTGTTTAGCTTGAGGGCATCAGCTAAAAATTACTACCTGCATTTCCCAAGAGAACTTTTCTAACCCCTACCTACAGGAAGGGGAGCCCATACTGGGGTGGAGAGTTTGAAAGCTAAGTTATGTGGGCTGAGAGGAAGGGAATAAAAGGCTGTTCCTGACCAACCAGAACTGACCAGCTTAAGGAATGGGGGGCAAAAAGCACAGAGAATGAGGCCCTGAGATAGCACCTTGGGGAGGGGCCATGTGGGGAGCCATATATTGACATCTGGGATCAATATTCTGATACGTACCTGGCATTCTTGATAGTCTCTTCATGGGAGAGGTGGGGGAGATAAAGATTCTGAACAGCTTTGGCATCTCCCGGGAAGTTGTGGGGGACTTAGAAACAGACACTGGCATCTGGGAGGAGACTAATTACTGTTTGCCAGTCTCCCTCTCCTTTCTCCTCTGTGTTTGTCTGTGTATGCACCTGGCTAGGGCTAGTTCTTTGTTGGACTTTGCCCTGAGGGCTAAATAAGGAAGGTTCAGTAGCCTTGAGCAGCAGATTGCAACACCCCCC